GAGTAACATCCCTTCCCTTCTGTTACCCATGATGATTCCTATGATTCCTTACCATATACATTGTTTTTTCAAAGGCCTGCTTCTCTCTCTCGCTGTATTTTTTTTTTTTCATGACCAGGTTATATTCTGGACTTTGGTTCCCTTTTTTCCCCCATTCTGCTCTGTAAGTGCCAACAGGTCCCTTCATCCCAGACATCAGCCTTGGTGGCAAGGGCTGCATAACCAGGGCCCAGGACTCATCTCCTCTCAGGTGCTGACCCTGTTAACTCGATGACACTGATACCTTCCCAGCGGACAACTGAACCCTGTTCTTCATCTGCAGATAGGGAAGACCCCGTTCCTCTTCCGGAAAAAAAAAATGGTGTTGAGTCAGCATTTCACTGACCAGGAAATGCATAGTGAGCCTTCTCCTTGCTCCATTCTAGTTCGGCTACATCTCCCACATGGAGTGATGGATTTGCCTTGTCCAGACACTGTTTGGGTTTATCTGCTGGCTGTGTTTCCCAGGTCCCTGCATGGCTGCAGTTGTACTTTATCTGCCATCAGCAAGATATCTCACCAGCAGTCCCTGGCCAAGTGATGGATGTTGATAACTGCCTGAACAGTCTGTGCAAAACTCAATTATCCTCCTCCGAGGATGATGCCTTGCAGATCTGTCAAACTCCTTGATCTCAAGTCCTCTGTGAACACGGGTCTGAAACCCTCCGTCCGGAGCTGGGGACTGGGCTGTAGACGATCACTCTGTGAATGGACTTAGCTTCTTCATGCACTGGACGTGGGCACTAGATTGTGACTAGCCAAACTCTGCAAGTATTTGGGGCAGTAAGGGGTTCAGGGCATTTCAGAAAAGCTGGAGAGGATTTGGGGTATAGGAATGGGCTGTAACTACCCAGAGGGGCAGCTGCCCAGGGCAGAGACTTGTTTCCAGGCTTGGGATTGAGTGCCCTGCTGAAGTCTCTGGTGAGGTCTAGCCATGCTCACAGGGAGTCTGGAGGCCCTCTCAGCTCAAGGAACATTGTTGTGGAGCACCCATATTCTGATAGCCCAGGAAAGTAAATACCTCGTGTGGGAGCAGGGTCCGTGTTGGGTTGTTAGCTGTGTGGTTGCTTTGTGAGGCCCTGGGAGGTGCTGTGTGGATGAGCACCACCAAAGCTCTGGCACAGGGGCTTGTTCTCCTCCTGTGGCCCCTCTGCTGCTCCTGTGCATCCTCTGCCTTGGGGGCACCAGATCTGCCTGGGGAAGGACACCCCAAACCTGCTGTGGTTGACTGCAGTGCTTGGGCAGTGCCTGACTCAGAGAGCATCCTGCGGTGCTGGGCCAGCGTTACATACACAGTCCATCCTACATGTGTTTCCCGGGTTTGATGCATGCCCAGTGTTTGAGAAGGTGTGTTTTGGGCAGCACGGCTTGTGCCTTGGGGCAGATACAAGTGTTACCAGGTGGGAGACTGAGTCTTCTCCACGTTCATGCAGCACCGAGTGTTGCAAGACCTGATTGATGTCCATGGGTGCTGGGCCTCGCTCGTCCTCGGGGCTGTCCATGGCCAAAGCACGGTGAGGTGTGTGCTGTCCGGCCAGCCTGGGACACTCTGGAGCAGGAACAACACCTCTCCCAAGGGCTTGGGAACACTTGGCAGAAGGCACCTTTGTGCTGCTAGCCCCGTGCCCCTGTCATTGGCAGACCATGAGATGGGATGTCCTACGTGCTGTGACCCAGTGCAGTGCCACAGCTGTGCATGGTGTTGCATGTCCTAGAGTACTTTATTGTCCAGTGTCCTGGAGCAGCCTCCCCCTCTGCCAGTGCCACTGTGTGACCAGCTCCAACCATGTGCTGCTGCTGTCCTGCCTTCATCCCCGTCCTGCTGCCCTGGCTGAAAGGGTCCCTGCTCCAGCGTGCCTGGGGACCTCCTTCTGGCCCTGTGTGCCCCAGAGCACAGAGCCCTCCCTCTGCTGGGCTGTCAGTGCCGCTGCTGCCTGCTCTGGGCACCCTGCTGCGCCCCTGGCCGGGGGCTCCCTGCGTGGTGGTCCCAGCTCTCCCTCCCTCACTCCCCCTCCCCTGCTCCCTGGCAGCCTCTTGCCAGCCCAGCGTGGTGCCTCGTGTCCTCCTTGCCCAGTGTGGCTGGGCTGACCCCTTGCTCCGCTCTCTCCGCAGACGCTGTACGGCTCTATCAAGAACGAGAAGCTGCAATGGGCCATGTGAGTACCCCTTCCCAGGGCGCCGCGGCCGCACCGCAGCCCCGAAGGCTGTGGCAACTCCCTTGCCCTCCTCAGGCGCTCGGAGCCCGCTCGGCACCACAGCGCATCGGCCGCCCCAGCGGGACCCGGGCTGATCCCACACGGGCAGTCGCTTGGGGCCTCGGCGCGCGGCTGGGTGCTGGCGCTC